ACTTTCAAACACAAATTTTAAAACATACACAACACAATATTGTAGTAAAATCAAATGCATACACAATCGAACAACAGTACACTGAGCCTACTAATTAACACAATCAATAACAAAAAAAGGATCCAAACAAAGACAGGGAATGAGATTGCAAACTCAGCATACAGCATCCACAATATATTTTTTTTTTTACTCCATCAAGCTCTCAATCTTTTCATCATTCAAAATCTATTTCAAATTAAAAACCGCCTGATAAATAATATCAATAACCAATATAATGAGCTGAGACAGAAGGTTGTAAAAATAATTTAAGAACATAAGAACCATGGAAAAGGGGCAGTGCGAGTTTTCTAATACTATACGTATGACTGARGTGTTTCATTAAAACCTGTATTTTTGTGTTATTGTTTAAGATGATAAATAAATATTCTAATAGTGTGAATTATTAGTTGTCATTTAATTGATTGTATCATCCGAAAAGCAAGTATACAAAAATAATTAACAAATAAGTTATACTTGAAGAGTATACACATTTCTTTAAAGAAATCCCTACAACGAAAAAAAATATTCCAAATAGGATCTCTGATAGGTAGTGACAATGATGATGAATAAAAATGTTATCGAAAATTACATGAATCTAAAAGTGCAATATTACAGATAGTTACTTTTATTTTAGTTAATTTTAATATTAAGTTAAGTATTAGGTAAATACTTAACTTATATTTAAACTAAGGGGTGGGGGGGGCATTTTTTTTATTTAGTATTTAGCAGGGAGGTGTAACTCTATACGGTACATCTGATACTACGTTTAAGACACGCGACATACCAACATAACTAAACATCTTATATTCCCTTTATACGGCGACACTTCAATATTACAYAGATACGTCATCTAATAATTTTATATTTTGAAAATGATCTGTTATTCGGTTGTCGGTTCATCGTTCATGTGTATTGCATGTGAACAACACCGACGTCCGACATTGTAACATTTGTAACACTCAGTTTTTTTTAACTTTATTTTTCGTGGCTCCGTTCTGTTATATTGTTTCACTAACTCATATTGTACTTTCATTGCTCCGTGATCGTTTGTTTATTTATTAGTAGTTTTTTTTTAAATAATAATAAATAGATAATGCCTTCCAACCATTGTATCGTCATTGGATGTGATACAAAATACAACGATAAGTACGACATCGCTTTCCTAAGGACGAGGAGGCTTGTAGTGTATGGGTACAGAAATCTGGAAACAATAAATTGTTGAACAAATCGGCGATACAAATATTTCAATCTTACGTGATTTGTGAGAAACATTTTGACGCCAGCTGTAAGAGCCCAGGTTTTAAAAAAACTTATTCATGGTTCAATTCCTACTCTAAATCTGCCAGGTAAAACATTATTCTTCTACCTATCTAATATAATAAATATTTAAGTATTTTGTAAAAGATTAATTATTATTGTAATTCATATTGTGTTAGATGCACAATAAATGATAGTAATATAATTACAAATAGTTTTTTTACTTAAGTACCTACTTACCTAATTGTTTTTTTTTTTTCCAATATAAATAATTACAGTTGATTATAAGAATATAACAGTAGATTCCTTAAAAAGGTGTTAACACTTCAGTTATTTTAAGCTGTCTTCATTTTAAAATCTTTTTAAACTGGTTGTTAGCTATTGAAAAATATTATTTTCTTTAGCTAATTGTATTACCCTAACCATACTACTAATTAAATGAGTAAGTTTAATTCTAATTAATGTACCTATAACATTTAGCATGATTGATTGCTGCTAATTAAGAAGGTATCATTAGTATTGGCATGTAGTTGTTACGTTTTTAGAGAATATGTTAGCATGACATAGTAGTTTGATATATTTTTATATTTTAGTATATTAATTTACATTGATATGTTAGTCTTTAACTTAAAATTGAAATTATGTGCATGAATAATTATTGCTTGCCTACAAGTTGAATACCTAGCAAAGTATTAATTTGGTGTTATAAAACTTAAATTTGTAATGTAGTTAGTAGCCTATATCATAATCTATATTTAGGCTTATAATAGCCTGTTCGGTAGCTTGTAACATGATACATTTATTTATTTGTTGTATATACCTACTATACCTAGATTATAATATAATATATAGTATTATACTATTTATTAACTAATAATGAATACTATATATATTTTTTAGTTGCTTGCCATATTTCTGACACTGAAGTTGAGGAGAATATTGAGCCATCAACATCTACTGCTATGAACATGTCTATCRATATGAATCATTCTGATGGTAATATCATAAATCTTTTATATTTATAAATAGTATTTTTTGAAAAAAGCTATGTAAATWTCTAGTTTCAAATTAACTGTAGCTATGTATACAGAAGCAYGACTAATAAATTAGTTTTTAAACTGAATATTAATGGTCTTTTATTCATATTTTTTTTTAGATTCTTGCAATATGTCAGTTACTGAAACTTCTGAAACCTTAAGTTCAACAATTATTATGGACAATGTTGCAACTACACCAAATTGCAGGGAAATAACACTAAAACCTAAAAATTTGTTTAATAATGCCAAAGGTACCTTAGAAGAAATAAAAACATATTGTGTTAATGATCTAACTCCTCGAAAGTCATTATTGTATCATGCTTCTCAAAGATACAGACAAAGRAATTCAGTTCTTCGACAACGTTCTTTAACTGCAAAACAGCGCATTTTAAAAGCTGAAAGATATATGCAAACAAATATAAAATCAATGGGTAAATGAAACACATTTACACAACAGTTTATTCAATCCCATATACGTATGCAACCTCAAAAACCTCGAGGTCGACATTTTACTACAGATGACAAGGTATTTKCTTTATCTCTTTATAAACAAAGTGGTAAAGCATATAAGGTACTTTCAAAAATGTTTGCATTACTCTCACGGAAATGTATTTTGGATTTGTTAAAGAAGATTCCATTTGAAGCCGGTATAAATAAACGTATTTTTGAACATCTCAAGACAGCTGTACAGAAAATAAAGCATAAACTTGATCGCTATAGCACAGTGGTTTTTGATGASATATCACTTTCGGCGTCATTGCAGTATTTGAAACAATATGATAAAGAGATTGGGTTTAAAGATTTTGGTGGACAAAATCGATCATCTGATTTTGCAGATAAAGCTTTAGTTTTTATGGTCAGAGGGTCACGTAAAAAGTTTAAGCAGCCAGTTGCATTCTATTTAACTAATGGTAACATGGACAGTACACATTTGTCAATTATTATCAAAGAAGTTATTAAAGCTGTTCAATTGACAGGACTTACAGTGGTATCTACTGTTTGTGATCAAGCTCCTACAAATGTTGCAGCAATCAACCGATTACTCAAAGAAACAAATGAGAAGTATGTAACAAAAGGTAAACAAAGTAGAAGATTTGGTTTTGAAATAAGAACTCAAGACATTATACCTCTCTATGATGTACCTCATTTGTTGAAAGGTCTGAGAAATAATTTAGTTTCAAAAGATCTCCATTTCACATATGACGATAAAAAAATGATTGTATCAAGGAAACATCTCATTCAGTTTTATGAAATGGACAAAAACCAAAGTACTGGAGGGGATCGCCTAACTCCTAAGCTTACAGATAACCATATATATCCTAAAAAAATGAAAGTTGCATGTGCCGCTCATGTGTTTAGCCAAAGAGTTGGTGCCATTATGAAAAGGTTGCCTTTTATGTTAAATACATYAAACGAWGAGTGTCCAGAAAATAAAATAGTTCAATCTTCTRTAGAAGATACTGGATTCTTGTGTTTATTTATTGATAACTTATTTGATAGTGTCAATGGTAATACAATTAAACCAGTTGCTGGAAAAGAATTGCGAAGTGCGGTTTCTTTCAATTCTGCCCACTGGGACTTCTGGCGCAAAGCTTTAATTGTTTTACAAAGTACTATGCAGTATGAGACAAAAACCAAAATATTAATTCCTTCTGTTGTAAACTGGATTAAAACTATTAAAGGATTACAAGCACTTTACACAAARCTTCTTAATGATGGGTTTAAATACATACTCTTGAGAAATTTTAACCAGGATCCAATTGAAAACTTTTTTGGTTCGATACGGAGCCATGGTATACATAATATTAAACCAACGTGTGCCAACTTTATTTCATCATTCAAGGCACTACTTATTAATAATTTTACTTCAAGTCACTCATTTGAGTCCAACTGTGAAAATGACGACTGTGATGAGACAACTAGATAAAGACAACTTATTTATTAATATCTTAATTTAGACAACCTAAAGGATTTTTTATTCAATGATATTCCAATTGATGAGACTAATTTAGTGGATGACAAATTCAATTCAGTTTTTTTTTTGGAGACTCCCGTTCAAGAATTTCGACCTCATCATATACTCAATTCAAATAGTAGAGCCTATGTTACTGGTTGGGTCATCAAGAAAATTAAGAAGCTCACAAAAAATTGTAATTATTGTATGGAAAATATCACTTCTCACCAAATGTTAAAAGAACATATAGTGATACAAATTCATCAATATGACAACTGCAACCTAAATTATCCAAATGAAGTAGCAATGGAMATCTTTAATTATTTAATAGAAATGTTCAATCTCAATTTTGATAAATTTGTATACAAGTGTAACTCTAAGACATCATTTAACTATTTAATTACAAACTTTATACCATCTAGTTACTTAACATGTCCTATRCATGATTTATTTAATATGTTTTTAAAGACTACTACTAATCTTCTTATTTATTCTTATATAACTCACTTAAATAGGATACCTGACAAAAGGTAAAAAATCTGTAACATCTGATCAGAAAAATGAAAAATAATGCTATRGTATACCATGACAAATATGCAAAAAAGAAAAATGTATTATTAAGACAAAATGTAAATTATGTATAGTTAATTATGTAAATGTTAAATTTGGAAATTGTAAAAAAAGAATTATCTATTTGTTGTATTAAAATATTTAATTAAATATAATTTTTCCATATAAACAAAGTATTTTTTTTTTTTAATGAAAAAAACTTAAAATGGGTGAATATAAAATATAAAATTAAAATCAGTACGATCGATACACGATATTATCGATAAATARCTATCGATTATTTACTATCGATAGTATAGGTWTTAGTTTTTAAGACAGCCACTTRGAGCGATAGTATCAATGGTCATATCAAAATGTTCTACAGGAGTCGCCTTTCTATTTAATCTCTTTTCTATGGTATTTAGTAACAATACATTGTTATAAATTAATGACTTAAATCTAAGACTTTAGTCCCTTACTTTCAAAAGACTTAATTATGTTATGACCACGAATTGTTAATTATTTGATAAATTATTATTTAGTTACAAATGTGATAATACTTTAATTACCCTGACATTTTTAGTAAGTGATAATTTAATTAATTGAAATCAATTATCCTAAGTTTTTTATTATAGTTAATAATTTTATTCACATATTAAGTTCACAATTTTAATTCCATTATAGATGACAAAAAATGTTTATGATAATTTTTACTTGTATCTCCTTAAATCTTTGAATATCATTCATGAAAAATGCATATTTAAAACATGTGTGTGCTTAAACATCGATATAATAGTTTGCATAGTACTCAAAATATTAAAGAACTATTTGTCATTTTTCAATTTGTAATTAATATCATATTATTAAGCATTTATATTAATATTAATTCTTTATTYTATATTTTATATTTTATTAACTAATATAAAAGTAATTTAGAGTAAGTAGTAAAACTAACACACAAAACTTCATTAATAWTAAATATTTCTAAGTTCATGTTATAATTTTAATAGTTTCAAAACATTATGAAATTTTAATTTAGGTAGGTATACTTTTTAAATTATTAACTCTGGTAACTTCTAATGGATCTTGTCCAATTTTTAAGTGTAGGAGGTTATGGACTAAAACAATTTTTTATGCAAACTAATCTAAGCTCAAGTTGATAAAATACATAGAATCAAAAATGTTTACTGACTTGTTTGACAGATTGTGATGGACGGAATTTCTTTAAATGCCARTTTGATGAAATTTATCCAAAAGTCTGTCAAATAGAAGACAGAACTTAGCCGTATCTTTGGAATTTTCTTTTAGAACATTAATAACTAGAACACAAAATTTAAAAATTTAAAACTTATATGATACAATAAATGATAAAACTCACTTAATAAATAAACATATTGATGACACTTGTTCACTAAGCACTTGAGTAGCATTTTTCAGTTTAATTTTTTTAATTTTATTTCGGTCAACATGTCCCCGTGTTAATCTTAATGACATTTTTACATCTGGAATATTACTGTACAATTTATATAAATCAACTTTGTTATGTTCACTATAAATTTTGAAAACAACGTTTTTTTAAGCATATTATTTCTGATAGCTTTTGATAAATGAGCTCATATAAATTAATTATCTTCAAACATTGAGTATCACAATAAATGTTGTAATATAGGTCATCTTTATACKCATTTTTTGTAAATAATATGCGTTTGTATCGTTCTTCAAAATATTTATTACTGCAATGTTAACGGTAACCTGTTCACTAATGGTTGCTACAATTTTTACAATTTTTAAACCAGTGGACTGAACGGTCTTAAATATATTATATATATAAATCATGGCTGATAGTTGAACTTTTATAAGAAGTATAAGATATAGGTTATTTATATATTTTTCATAACTTCTCTTTTTATGAAAACAAGTGAGTGATCAGCAAAATTTTGAGTTCTTGAAACACCATTATTTTTGATTCTAGAAAYTGAACCAATATTGTCATTTTACTGAAGATTACTTTCAATACTTCAACAAAAAGAACTATTAAACAATATATTTTAACAATTTGTAAACATTTTGATATTTTCATTTAACACTTTTATAATGGTTTTATCAATATTCTGGTATCAATAGGTAGTTAAAAAAGATAATTTGTAAGHATTTGTCTTCCAGATAAAGACATCTTCTAGAGTTTGAATACAATTGTTTACGACTTGGCACTCTTTGTGTATAGAGACAGAAAAAGAATTTCTTCTTCTCTTAGCTTTATTGTTTATCTTGTTTGTCTCAAATAATAGTTATCAGGTAAAAATTGTTGCAGCAGTTGTATTGAGATTTTATAGTTTAGAATCCAAAATATTCTATGACATACTTTTGGCAGCTGTAACTCTGTTTTTGAAGATGAGACATTTTTCTCATAGCTGCAGTAGCTTAATAAATGTTACACTATCTGCATATGATAATTTATACTTTGGTGTTTACAGACTATATTGCTTCGTACGGATTTTGCATAATAAACCTAGAATAAAAATAATTTAATAAATAGGTATTTTAGAACTTTTAAGYTGATAAAAGATATTCTATATGTAATTATAATGCACATTATCATAATATATTATCATATTGAGTATTCCGTGAAAACAACAATTAATAAAATATAATAATAATATTATTATTATATCAATAGTTTTTTTTTTCAACACTAAAATCAGCATACTCAATGTCAAAATAACCATAATCAGCATTATTGTGTATGATATTATTAGTATTTATTCATGCATTAACGATAATTAATTGAATGACATAAATTACAATATATATTTCAAATAATTTACTCAACTAGCATAATAARACTTAAAATATGAGCCCAGTATAATAAAGATTAATAAATTCAATAAAAAATATTTAACATAAAATTATTTTTATYATCACAATGAGCTATGAAGTTATTCAAAGTTTGACAAATCATATGCTAGAGAAAGGCTACAAGCATTGGATACAAAATTTTCTATCCAAATTCATTGTCTCTGTTGTGCYAATTGTAGTATGGGGTATCGTGTATTCAGTCTTGGGCATTAAATAAACAAAACATTTATGAAACTACTGCATTTGAAATAATTATTTTAAGTATTTACCAGTCTACTCCTATGTCTTTATTGTAATCGCAAGACTTATAGTGGAAACACTTTTTTTGTTGAGCCTAATCATTCGTTAACTGTTATTATTGCAAGAGGTAAGGTTTAAATAAATTTGTTGGGTGCAATAATTAGTTTCTGGATCCAACCCAAAAAAATCTGTTGGTCCAATGGTTATGATCAACTTTTTCATAATAGCCATGAATCCTTTGTGGTTTGAAAATATTTGAGATAAAATAGAACCAATAGCAATAAATTATGAAATAAAACACTTAAATAACAATTTACAAGTTAATATAGTATAGCCTAATGGTAGACAGGAAAATGAGGACATTATTTGCATTTTTAGGAATCTCTAATTATTATAATATAACCTAATTACTATGAATGTGTAATTTAGTAATGTAAGCTCTTTCTGTAATGTGACAACATTACCATTGAATAAAAACAGTATGTAAGAATTAGTCATAAAATAGCTTTAGCCTTAATCACTGTATGTTAAGGGGTTATCTCAATGATATTATATCATAACACTTTTAAACAATAAGTTACAATTAACAGTGGAGACTAAGGGTTTAAAAATATACTATGACACTGCACATCAATTCCCTCCCCATCATTCTTCCCTATTTTGATAATTTAACCATCAGATGCAAATCAAAGCATCTACAAATTAGTAATGTAACGTTTAATTGTATGTTTTTAAGTTTAAGAATATACTGGATGTAATACATGGCAGTATCGTATAGTGGGCTTCCATCTAAAAAATCTACTATGACATATGTAATATATATATAAATTGGGTGATCGGCCTTACTGGATTGTCTTTCTTTCATTAGTAATTATAGATTATTAATTATTAACAATATAAAAATTAAATAATTACCTCTTCTATTGATAAAACATAACAAAATAGTAATAAAGTTATACATAAATGATACTGTAACACTTAACTTTCAAACAATATGTAATAATTTAARCATCCCCAAATAATATAATATCTAGTTCTAAACCTAGCTCTTCAGTAGTGTTTGAGTAAAATATAGATCTAATCATTTTTTTAAACATGGATTTTGTTGGAAAAAACTTAATGCAATTTATTGTTTCAAAATGTCTCCCTAACACATTGTTTTATTAATAAGTTACCATTAATCGTRTCTATTTCAAGCCTATTCCTAGATTTGGTTTCGATATTGATAACATTAGAAAATACCTTTTTCACAGTTTGCATTTGAAACAAGAAGACATAATACTGTTAAAGCAGCTTGAATTTGCATAATCTAAAATGTATATGTTTACCATAGTACATCGGAATAATCATTAAAATACCGTAAATTAGTAATAGTGTCTGGTAGAAGATGTAATGACTTTGGCAGTGCTCTCCATTGATCATCAAGTTTTTGAATAATTTCATTATAATAATAATTTTCTTGAATAGGTACAGTCTTTTTCATGTGGGTAACTAACGGTAAAACACTTGAAACGGTTTCGATCGAACAATGTTGTCGACCGAATGGCGTGCAACAGTGTCCAAAAAAAAAAAAAACGTCCAACAACGTCCAACARCGCTCAAAAATTCGAGAGAAAGTTCTATCTTATTATCTTAAATCCTGATCGGTTGCAAACGGAACAATCCACGACGTTCGTAACTTCATATCGAACGGTGATGTATATTAAACTATATTTTGTGATTTGGAGTTTACTGATAACAGTGKTATGATAAGACGCACGTGATTCCGATTGTGTTATTCGCCTGWCGCCATTCGGCAAGACTTCTGTCGGCGGCATTTTTCCTCGTTAGTTAATATTTCAACTTTCGTAAACGTCACGACTGCCTACGATCTACATCGAAGTACTAACCGGACTAGTTCAAAGCGTCGTGTTTCTGGTGCTATGATTCTCACTKCTTCACTGCACATCACTTCAGGTAAATTAATCATAGTTTTACGACTCGACAGACGACAGTTGACATTAATTAATATTCGCAAACTACGACGGTCATCGACCGCAACTGCTAGTCCAAAACAGACGTAGCGTGACAGAAATATTTTAGTTTTAGTCTATGAAAGTTAGGCCACAGTGGTGATCACAAATTTGTGGACTCGTCGTCCTGTAATTTTACCGGCTATGCAATCTGTTATTAATATTATTATTATTTTTTTTTTTTTAGCTTAAAATCATTTAAAATGGGTATAACCAAGCAATACTTGCGTTACGTTCCGTGGAAAAATTTCAACATCGTTTGCCATCCTGATTGTAATGTTGTCTTTGTCACGCTTAACGGTATTTCTGACAGATATGTTGCTGTCGGTGCTTGCGAAAATGTTATCATTTGGGACTTGCGCTTGGAAAAATTGGTAAAAACGACTTAATTAATTATATTTAGCTAAAGTTGCTTTTTTACTTTCACTATGTATATATTTGTTTATTGTAATTCAGGTTATGACAATCGAAGATGAAGACATGAAAAATAATACTTCGAAAAAGGTTTCTGTAGTTAGGTTAGCCACCACCTTGGAAAGTAATCATATTGCTGTAGGTTATTCTGATGGTTTAGTAAATACGTTTAATCTGGCGACTGGTGAACTTATTGGAACGTTCCAAGGTCATCGTTCTGCCATTACTGCACTTACTTATGACACTTATGGTCACATGCTCGCTTCAGGTTCCAAAGTAAGTTTTTTTTGTTCATGGCTTTAAACTTTATTATTACACGTGGTCTATTTATTTATCAGGATACTGAAGCAGTAATTTGGGATGTCATAGCTGAAAAAGGATTACATCGATTGTCTGGCCATAAGGGTGTAGTGACAGGAGTCCAATTTATAAACAAGCACAATGTTGTTGTAACGTCATCTAAGGATACATATATCAAGTTTTGGGATTTAACAACTGGACACTGTTTCAAGACATTGGCAGGTCACATTACTGAAGTAAGATTTATTTATGAAATGAGCTTGAACTTTAAATGCTTAAAAATAAGTTTGGTAAGCTCACTCTGCGACCGTGTTAAATTCCTGAATTTTAAACATATTTTAATGTAAATCTATAAACTATAATTCTGAACACTATTAAAAAAGAATTTGGTAACCTTAATATTTTGAATAGTTTGAATCTATACTTAATAAATAATTACACATTGAGTATTTACTGAAAATAAACTGCTGTTGTTAAATAAAAATAATAATAATTTTTTTTCTATYATTATTGATCATAGTTACATAGACTACTAGGCCATAAGTTCTAATTTACATTGTAAGTACATATATATTATATCATAGTTAATAATAGTTTATTTGATATAAAAAATAACAATACATTAATGAATCAAATTATTAAATTTTCATAAATATATTAACATACACATATATGCAAATTATTCTCTCTATTAAAACCTATGATTGTGTTATATTGCTCTATAAAAACTTTATTAAGTTCAAAAATAATTTTGAAAAAAAAGACAATATTAAATAAAGTTTTTAAAAAATGGATATAATTTATATAATAGAGCAAAAAATAAGAGAAAAATATATTTTATAAATACATACCATTCTAATAATATAAAAAATATTTTAATTTAAYTACACAGAACAATCCTAAAGGAAATTATAAGTATCTTTATACAAATAATCATTAATGTCTAAATTCTAAAGTAATTTCAAGTTATAATGAATAAATAAATATCTGTATATGAACTATTATAATTATGTACTGGTAACTAACACACAGATACAACTTGAATTTAAAGTATTCTAAATTTATGTTTAGAAACTTAAAACATATTACTTATTAATTTTATTGATTAAAGAAATCTATAGTTATTAATATTTAGTTATTACTTTTTTTATACTCCTTGTATGTCTTAACAATAGGTATGTGGTCTATGTTAAAAACATTGGATAAAGAAATTAAATTTTAAGATGTATATTATATAAATTCTGGATATTGACAACCAAGTTTTTAGTACTAATAAAATTGTCTTCTGTGTTACATACTTGAACTTTATGACTTACTTATCAAGATACATTTTGTGTGAGTGTGTACTTAACAAGCACATTTTAAGCATTGTTTTATTTTGTAATTTATAAATAGTATATGGCATTGGGTCGAGAGTTATATGTTTAAGATTGAATGGTTATTGAAAAATACTGCGCAAATCGCAGGGGTGCTAAGGGTGCTTAGCACCCTGAATGTTAATGCCAGAACCCCGAATCCCGTGGTTATAACTTACAGTACTATTACCGTCATATTTGCATAATAATTACATTTATTAAAAATTCAAAAACAGTTTCATATTTATTTGATTATTTATAATATAATATGTCGAGCTTACGTCTCGATATATTAAACTGCAATGACATATAAAATATATTATATAATGTCATAATAATTGTTGTGAAATTATGATATTTACGGGAAATTTGATCTGCTTTCTCAAACATTGTTGGCACTTAATCCCCCTAATGTTTTTGGGTGATTTGCACCTATGATACTACCACACAATAACTTTAAATTAGATCTTAATGTTTAAGAACTATTTGACTTGTGTAACCATCCAAAAACATGTAATTATGCATTTTTACACAAATATGCAAAATTAGCATCTATTTTTGTCCTGTTATTATCTAAATAATTATTACAGGWGGAATACTTAAAAATATGTATTTGCATATTTTAATCTGGCTTTATTTATGAGTATGAAGATCTGTATTGTTATTTTTCTTAATGCTTTTGTGCTTATACTAAAAAAATTCTTATTGTTTTATAATATATTAATTTTGTGTTTTTTAAGCATGAATAACTTTTTTTGTAATTCTGATATCGAAAAAATAAAAACTATATTGCACAGACAAAATACTCCTTTTTATGTGGTGAAAATTTMATTTCTTAGTTATAACTGTAGCTTTCTCGGTTCTTTCCCGCGCGAAACAGTTTTTGCAATGTTACGCACTTGTAAGACGGATACAACAAATGCTCTTAAACACATATTTTTAAAAGAATGAATTTGAAAAGTTTGTCCAATTAGACTAAACAAATTTTTGTATTTTATATTTTATATAGGTATGGACTTTATCTATTTTACGTGATGATGATTTTGTTGTTGCTGGAAGTAATGACGCAGAACTACGTACATGGAAGATATCAAAAATGAATGATGAAGAATCAGAGGTTAAAATGTCTGAGCTTTTAACCTCAGATAACTTACTAGATTTTGCTGTTAGTGTTTATTTCAATAATTTGTAATTATTATGACTATTTAAAAAATATAAAAACAATGTTTTATACCATTTTTAGTCTTCGATAAAATGTGAAAAAAGTGGATCATTAATGCGAGAAGGTCCTGGCCGTGTTGTATCTTCAGCCACAGATAATACAAATCATGTTCTTTGTGTTCATGGCCATGGAAAATTATTGGAACTATTTATTTTTAGTGGAGATAATGAAGCATTAGAACGTTTGCATAATCGTCAACGAAAATTCAGGAAAAAGGCTTCTAAGTAAGTTAAATATATAATATAATCCTATTGTAGTACACTGGTTTGTAGATATTACGCTAAAATAATATACCAGCATTACAAATAGGCCCCTGGATTTTATGTAACATCTTATATAACTTATAAAATTGATTATGTTCTAGTGAATTAATTATTTTATTTGTGTTCAGTTAAATAAAGTTTTTGTGGAGTGTGGTGCAATRGTTAGTTTGAACCTAGTACAGTGCAAAAAATGCTACTTTGTAGTCTCTCCCCACCAGACAATAAGGTCATTTCAATGAACTGATATTAAAAAAAAATTCAATTAACGATAACTGCGCTATCATGTCATATTAACTTATTAACGTCTTTATTAATTATTTTTTGATTATGGTTAATAGGCGCGGTGAAACTAATGAAGATACAGCATTTTTAAATGRAAAAAATCCAGCACTACAAGATGTGGTTCGACGATTACCTTCTATTTTAACAGACTGTAAAATAAAGTCTGCTGATTTGGTCGTAAATCAGACTCATGTGAAAGTAATACAAATAAATTAAAGTTTTAAGTATCATGATCTAATGTTTAATATATATTTTATGAATTCAACAGATTGTTGTAAGTATGGCAAATAACACTTTAGCGTTTTATTCTTTATCATTAGCAGTTGGAAAAGAAGTAAAACTGATTCGAAAGATTTCGTTACATGGCCATAGATCAAATGTTAGAGTTTTATCATTTAGTTCAGATAATTTAGCTATGTTCACTGGAGGTTCCGAGTCTATCAAAATGTGGAGCAGGAAAACTCTTAATTGTATTCGAACAGTTGAGACATCTAGTGCTGTTCAATGTTTATGTGTGCTTCCTGGCGACCGACATATTTTAGCAGGACTTGAAGATGGTAAATTATTGGTAATTGACATAGCCGCAGGAGATATTATTGAAAACATTTCTGCTCATCAAAAAGATTTGAAGTCAATTTATATGTTACCAGACGAGGTAATAAAAAATATTTATTTTTTATTTTATTAATTCTGATACATTTTTTTTTTTCAACAAACAACAGTTGGGTT